TTACCGCATCTAGTGCGTTAAAGTTGTCTCTCCGACAATTTTAGTTGCTTGCTAAGCGTCATCCATGGCAATGGCTGGTGCTACTAAAAACTCCCGCTCCTCCAGGGTTTCCAACCCTGCTCTCCGACCTCTTTCTCTCTCCCTCTCGCTCTCCCTCCTCCTCTCGCTCGCTCTTTCTTTCTTTGCCGGGACGTCAGCACAGACGGGAGCAGTGCCGCTGACCATCATCCCCCAGAACTCCGTGTCCACGTGGTCCATTCAGAAGCTGCCAGGTGTGACGGCGAACACGTCACCGCTTTCGTTCCAAGAGAAGGGCCCCGTGCTGCTCAACATCTCGCAGGCCGATAGCAAGACGTTCCAACCCACCGAGGTAAGTCAAGCTGTATTATATGTAAGGAATGAGCGCAGGTAATGCTGTTACTCTCAACCGTTCAGCCTGAAAGCATAGCGTTTCAAATCCCTGATTGATGTTTAATTGTTGGGGGATGTTTCCTCTTACTGTCATTTTGGTTTATGCAGGTGGTTTGGACGTCGTCAAACATCAGCACTGATCCTTCCACGTGGACTGCTGAGCTGTCGTCAGCAGTGAGCCGATCTAGCATCGCCAATCTGACCATGCAGAACCCCCAGATGTGGATCTACGGTGAGGATCAATCCTCCAGCCCTTTAGCCCGATGCCTTATTCTCTCGGGCAACTGCCTCAATGCGTCTGTTCGTCCTTCTGAATTGAGGAGAAGTCATTTCATACAAACACGTTAATGCGTCTGCTCATCAACTCTGCACCCGTCGCACATGGCCTTTTGTCTCACAAGCATGCAAGAAACTTGCTTGGTTACCTGGGCTCCCTTCGTGCTGGCGTGAGGCTTCAATGTGAACTTTTCTTTTAACATGTGTTCCTTCAGGGGGAAAGTTCGACGTAAAGAACCTCAACTACTCCTTCAAGCCGGACAACGCAGTGCTGCTGGTGCAGAGCCTCACAGGCACGCTGCTGGGCACCAACGTGAACAGCCAGAACCTGCAAGTGCCCATTGACTCTGACAACATCCCCAACCTCAACGGCCAGCTCATTGCCCGGGTAAGATTGCCTTGCTATGTGTTCTAATGCATGGTTCATAATGCTTTGTTCCATAATCAAAGGTGCACCCTACTGCTCTCTGGCTGCTGGTTCAGATTGTTGTCTTGTCTGTTTTCCTGGCTGCTGTTTTTTCAGGGGCCGCAATACGAGCTGCTGTCAACTGGAGTCTTCGAAGTCCCTCTCAGGTGTGCATGCCTCCATCCAATCAGATGCATACGGACATTTAAATGTATACCTGCATTTTTTCTATCCTATATCAGGCCAAACCTCCACGTTTCTGCCGTATATCATTGCACAGTGACTGTCCAACGTTGATCATCGCCCTACATTAATCAACCGAGAATGATTACCATACACTATATTGCACCCATACTGTGTCGCTCTCATTCGCAGTGGTCTCATTCAAGCAGCGGGCGGTGGGGAGCAGGCAGGGGGGCTGGTGGGAGACAGCTTCCTGCAGCTCAACATGACCATCCAGGCCATAGGACCTCCTGGCCGTCGGCCTCGCCCTCCTTTCCGCGCCCCGCCTCGCGCACCACGCCGACTGAGATAAGGCGCTGCTTTTAGCTTGATAGGTAGAGATGCCTCGTGTATGGCAACCACATGTGATGTACCATGATCATGTGGATGTGTGTGTAGTACCTGCATAATTAGTGAGGTGTACGTGAATTCTGGAAGATTTTTGAGAGCACCAAGGGGTCTCCTTTGGGGACAGCCAGCACTTCATAACAGGGGAAACCTGTTATGGAAGTGGATACACTAGGCACAAACAGGCCAGCAGAGTAATGCTACCAGTATCAGTGATGTGACATCACAACTGGTGGAAACCATGGTATGCAAACATGGTATATCTTATAGCCTTCTCATCTCCAGCTCGTTGGTAGTTACAATATCCGAGGCCTCCTTTGACCCTGAATGCCTCCTGTGTTCTAAAACCTCATCTGTGTCTGCTGCGATAACAGCAGCACCACGACCATCTACAACTCCTTCCAAAGCCTCGTCTACACTAGAAGAACCAGGACACCCCTTCTTGGAACCATCAGTAGAAACAACAGCAGCATCACCATCGGCAGCATCAACATGAGCAGCTGTTGCAGTCACACCCCCTCCATCCTCTGCACCAGCACCAGCGGCCTTTTTTCTTTTGGCCCGCTTATCGTACCGGTACTTGAGTAGAGTGAGGGTTACCATGAAAACGATTTCGATTATAAGGGGGATGGCCACGGGCCAGAGCTTGTATGCCACCCCGTATATGCTAATTCCAATGAGACCCAGTAGGTAGCATGCTTGCCTGGTGGGGGAATGTGAGTGCAGGAAAAAGGGGAGGTTGGGTGAGGGATGGCTCAAATAACTGATTTATGGAAAGTTATATCAATATACTCAGCTTGTACGGCACACTGATGGAAGGAGATGTGCGGCACACTGATGGAAGGAGATGTGCGGGGCGGGTGGAAGAGAAGGGGGAGGAGAGAAGGGGAAATGTGGGGGGAAGTGAGGGGCCATGGAAGAGACGAGGGGAGAAGTGGGGGAATGGGAGCAATTTAGAAGGGCGGATGGAGGGGGGACGGAGGAAGAAGGGACGGAAACAGTGTGAGAGCAGAAGGGGGAGGAGGGATAGCGGGAAGAGTACTGGGGAGACGGGGGGTTGCGGGGAATTGGGTGATGAGAGGGTCGCAGCCTGTGCGTGGTTACGGACGCGAGCCGAAAGGAGGGGGCACGGGGGAGAGAGTGTCATAGAACCGAGCACGAATTCTGATAGTCGGAAGAATTCATGTCGAAGTAACCACAATACGCGCCCTCAACCGATCGGCTAAGAAAATGGTGAAGTAACGAAGGAATTAACACCAATTCTGACCAGAAATAGCTGAGGTCTTTGGCGGATTTGGTACGGTACGTCTTGATCAGCTGCGGCAGGATTGACACGCAGAAGATGACACCGCCGATGAAACCGCACGCGGAGTACGGATTCGAAAACGACGCCTCTAACGAAGCCTCTTCTGTCGCGACCATAGCAGGCACAGACGAGTGACACTAACGAAGGCGCGGTGCTTGGGAGTCGAAATACTGGGCTATGTGCCTGCTGAGTCGAGTGGGGGAGCAGGGAACAGTGAAGGGGTAGGGGAGGGGGATTATTGGGTCGCTGAAGGCAGTTAAAAATGTTTCGTTATGGCGCCTTCAAAATGTGCCATCAGGGATTTCTGAGGCTGAACGCTGGAGCATCCTTTGAATTTTTATATTACAAGGTTCCTATATTTACTAGAGGTGTTTTTTTTTCTGGTGTTTCCTATTTTTTGTGTTGAAAGCTACTTATCCGCAACTGATCAAGTCGGAAGCATTTTCATCAAAGTAACTCGCACACACTGTACACGCCTAATGTGTCAATAACGGGATTCCGGTTGGAAATATGCGCCCCCCCCCCTCAACGGTGACGAGATTTGCGCCCCTCCCCGAATTCGAAGGCGGAAATTAGCGCCTCTCCGCATTCGTCACTTCTCCAACCTTTCCCATCCCAACCGTTGATGACCCAAGCCAATTCCCTCAAGACCTTTCTTTTCCCTAATTTCAGGCATGCTGCATGCACACTTGCATTCCATTCATTCTTTCCCATGTCGTTCCTACTTGCTTGCGTTTCCGCCGCCTTGCAAGGCACCCATGTCCGCTGCTCCGCGCCCTCGCGTCGCGTCGACTCACCTCGTCACCCAACGGGCTCGCTCCGCCCCATGTCTTTCCCCAGCGGGTCGAGAGTCGAAATGTCCCGTCCATCCTCCATCGTCCATCGCGTCTGACGGACCGCCGCGAGGAAACGCGAACCCAATTTCCGCCGCTTCAATCACGCCCCGAACTCCGTGCATTCCAGCCCACCGCCTTCCGCGCCCTTGCTCGTCTCCCTGCGCCTTCTGCGCTTTTTCCCCGTCAACCCACGAGCCGTGCCCTCCCCCACCCCCAGCGCGGGTTTCCTCACCTGCTTGCGGCGCTCAGACGTCGTTTCCGTTCCCCCTGTGCCCATCCGCAGCCCGCAATGGCGCGTGTCTCTGTTCCCCCCTGCTCGGACTCACATCTCGCATTACGCGTCTCACGTCTAATCCAGTCCCCCTCGCTGGTCTCTCGCGCCAGGCTCTGCCAGACACTTCCGCGGCGCCGTGCCATCCCACACTTGCTGCGTTGCGTAGTACTACTAGCGGTACCGATAAGAGCGTCCCTCCCACCGCGATACACCGCCGCGTCTCCCATCGTCACCCCGCCCCACACCCTCGCGATCTGCGATTTGAATCTCCACTTGGCTCAAAAGTCGCACGCAAGTCCTGCGACTGCCCCACGAGAGTGCCGCGCGTGCTGAGATTCCCGAGGGACCCGGCAGTCGTGCCGTTAGACTGATGAAGCGGACGGCTTCTGTCGCGGATTCGTTATTTTCCGTCACCGGTGGTGATTCGGAGCGATTTGCTGACGAGCAGCAACTCCTGCTGCGCGGAGCTTACTGCTGGCGGAGCTGAGAGGCCGAATGCGTGCCGCCTGCCTTGGCTGGTTGCAGCCGATCAAGCAGAACCCGCTGGGAGCTTTTAAAGACCTAGTTATTACACTTGCTGTGCGTCCTATTCCTGCCATTACACCCGCTTCTCCTGGTCTTTGAGTTCGTACCTTCAACATACGTAACCCACCAATCCTTTTTCGTGTTACTCGCGCCTCTATTTCGCTTATTCGCCTCCTCGTCGTCACTCGTTTCCTCTAACTCACCTAGGTCCGTTCAGCTGCCGTGGGGTTCCTCGAAGCTGCAGTTTCTTCTCCTTTCCTTGGGTGAAATCAGAGAGGCGTTACGATACTAGTGGCTTCTGAGTTGAAACACCGTGTTGGAACTGTTAAGTTGAAACCCCGTGTTGAAACTCAAAGTGAAACTCCGAGTTGAAACGCCTGACGCGTCTGCCGGTGAATGGTCACACCTTGCATTGGCGCGCTTTGCCCCCAGGCTGGCCCCAACGCTGCTGCCCACGGACCTACTTATAAAGAGTCAGCTGTTAACGAGTCTGGCGAGCCTGTAGCTGCGCATGGCACTGAAGAATTGCGTGTGTGCGGGCATAAGCGTGCAGACGCACAGGCGGATGGGGGGCATGAGCACGAGCAAGCGCATCAGCTTGTGGCGAGTGCAAAGTGTACCTGTGGGCATGAGCTTGTGCGTGGCTGTAAGGCTGCTGCAGGGACGCAGAGATTTGAAGGAAAGGGCGCAAAAGGAGAGGGCGCAAAGCGGGAAGGCTTCTGCGGTTGTGGGTTGCAGGCGGATGTGCTGGCGGAGCTACTGGGGGGGCAAGGGGAAGGAGGCCTGGGAAAAGTGAGCGCAGGAGAGGGAGGGGAGGCGGGTGAGAAAGGGAAACAGGGAAGCGAGAAGGAGAACGGGGAGAGTGAGAAGGGAAGGGGCATGGGGAATGCGGTCAGTGTGACTTGTGAGATTGGGGGAGGGGGTATTGTTACAGGGGTGGGGGGGAAGGGGAGTGTGGATGGTAAGGACGAGAAGAGGGTAGGTGAGGATGGGAGAGAGGGAGGGATTTTCGCTGCTGTAGCAGCACCACTAGTTGCAGCAGCAGCAGCAGCAGCAGCAGCAGCAGCAGCAGCAGCAGCTGTAGCAGTGAAACCAGCAGCGGCAGCAACAGCGGTAGTGGTAAAACCAGCAGCGGGAGCAACAGCTGTAGCAGCAACAACAGCAGCAGCAGGTGCAGCAGCAGTAGCAGCAGGTGCGGCAGCAGCAGGGCCAATGCCTGTGGTGACAGCAGGAGTTGGAGAGAAAGGCATTGAGGGACTGTGGCAGGGGTGGGATGGTGATGGGCAGGGGGGCGCAGAGGGGAGGGGGGACGGAGAGGGGAAGGGAGGCAGCGAGGTGAAGGGGCGGGACGTGGGAAAAGGGGGCGGAGAAGGGAAGGGGGGCGCAGAGTCGAAGGGAGGTGGAGTGCACGAGAGGGTGGATAGTCCGAGGGAGGAGGTGAAGAGGAGGGACGTGCGATGGAAGGGCAGGGGCGTGGGGGTAGGGGGAATGAGCGCTGGGAGCAGGGTGAGAGGCGGTGAGGGGAGTGATGGGAGGAGTGTGGGCGTGAACTTGTATGAAAGGGCAACGGCTGCTGTCTTTGCCAACAGGAAGCAGATCGGTTCTGGACGGTCAGTGCAGGAATGGGGGGTTGGTGAGGGGAGGAAGACGGCGGAAGGGAGGGATTGGGGGAGGGAGGAAATGGATGGAGGGAGGGAATGGGAGGAGGGATGGAATGGGGGAGGGAGGAAATAAGAGAATGGGAGGAAAGTAACACAACAATCTTTCTTCCTTCCTAACTGATCTTAAATGAGCTGGTCTGTTTTACCCTTCTCACACTCCCTCCTCAGTGGTGTATGCAGCCTTGTGCGCTATAACGTGTCGCCAATTGGCTGTTGAGGCGTACGTCAAGTCTTCTACGCACTTCCCCTCTTCTCAGACGCCCATGCCATTACCCCTTCCCCTCTCCCCCTTCCCAGCAACGCAGTGGTGTATGCAGCCTTGTGCGCTATAACAGGGCGCAAGGTGGCTGTTAAGGCGTATGTCAAGTCTGCTCCGCACTTCCCCTCTTCTGAGACGCCCATACCTTTACCCCTCCCCCTCTTCCCCCTCCCATCTCCCAGCAATGCAGTGGTGTATGCCGCCTCGTGTGCTATAACGGGGCGCAAGGTGGCTGTTAAAGCGTATGTCAAGTCTGCCCTAAGCGCCCTGGACCGGCACAGGATCAACCGGGAGGTGGCACTGCTGATGACTAGGTGAGTAAGAGCTGTAATGTTGGGGTGCTTAGGTGAGTAAGAGAAGCTTTCACAGTCGAAAATTAGTCTCAAATTAGAATTCACCTCACTCACTCACTCACTCAAACATCCCCACGTCTCCAACTCCTCCTTCCCATGGCACATCATTCAGTGGCTGGGTCATTTCGAGGACACCCAGTGTGTGTACATGATGCAGGAGTGGAATGGCGGTCTGGGCGTCGGTGCGACCTGTTGTACTGCCCCCAATAACTCCACCTCTCGCCCCTCTCCCCTTCTCTCTGCAATCCTCCCCACCCATGCAGCCACGAGCACGTTATCCAGTGGCTGGCTCACTTCGAAGACGCCCAGTGCGTGTGCATCGTGCAGGAGTGGGCGTCAGGGGGCGACCTGTGGCACCACCCACCACCCCCTCAAACCCATCCCCACTTCTTTTTACTGCTTCCCATTTTCTCCCATGCAGTCACGAGCACATAATCCAGTGGCTGGGTCATTTCGAAGATGCCCAGTGCGTGCACATAGTGCAGGAGTGGGCGTCAGGGGGAGACCTGTTTGAGGAGCTGAGGGCGAGCGGCGGGCACATGGGGGAAGCGCGCATAGCCAAGCACATCCTGCTGCCGCTGCTAGCGGCTCTGCAGCACATGCACACCAAAGGGGTGGTGCATAGAGACCTGAAGCCGGAGAATTTACTCTTGACCTTCCACGGCACGCTCAAGGTACGCATGCCTCTTCCCCTCGCTGCACTTGCTGCTGCCACTGCTGGGGGCGTCAGGGGAAGACCTGTTTGAGGAGGTGAGGGCGAGCGGAGGGCACATGGGAGAGGCGCGGATTGCTAAGCACATCTTGCTGCCGCTGCTTGCGGCCCTGCTCCACCAGAGGAGTGGTTCACCGGGATTTGAAGCCGGAAAACTCGCTGTTGACATCTCCCTGGCTAGATGAACGGCGAGGGAGACGGATGAAAACGCTGCAGTGCATGGCACCTGGGACTTTGGTCTGGCCATCAGTATGCGCGAGGAGCGCCCTGCCAGCTGGCGGGGCACGCCCCAGTACATGACTCCTGAGGCGGTGTGCATTGCACAATCATGCCACTCCACTCCTGCCTGCTCTCCTCCCTTCCGCCACTCTCCTTGCTGTTCACAGGTGTGTGACTTCGGCCTTGCCATTAATATGAGGGAGGAGCGGCCTGCCAGCCGCCTGGGCACGCTACAGTACAAGGCACCTGAGGTGGTTTGGTACGCATGGGATGGGGTTTCTGACTTCCCACGTTTTCCCCTGACCCCCACTCTCCTTCCTTCTCCTTGACATACAGGTGTGTGACTTTGGTCTGGCAATCAATATGAAGGAGGAGCGCCCTGCCCGCCGCCTGCACACGCTGCAGTACATGGCGCCTGAGGTGGTGCGCATGGCACAACCGTTCCACTCCCCCCTGCTCTCCTCTCCCCCTTTCCCCCACTCTCCTTCCTGTTTACAGGTGTGCGACTTCGGCCTGGCAATCAATATGAAGGAGGAGCGCCCTGCCAGCCGCCTGGGCACGCTGCAGTACATGGCGCCTGAGGTGGTGCGCATGGCACGGGGAGGGCAGCGCAGGAGAGGGGGGCAGGGGGGAAGGGGGAAAGGGGAGGAGGAGAGAGGGGAGACGGGAAAGCTGACAGGGGCGGCAGCAGGGAAGGGGCAGGTAGTGGGTGGCACTGGTGGCGCTGGTGCTGTTAGTGGTACGGAGGGTAAGACTGGCGCTTCTTCGGTGATTGAAGGGGCATACGATGAGAAGGTGGACATTTGGTGAGTGCGGCTGAGAGGTAGCGTCGGCCGGTGTGCTTTGTCGCCCACTGTGGATCGTTTTTGAGAATTCTCAAAAACAATCTGCAGCAGCATGTGGATCCGTATCAGGGCCTTTGAGCTCGAGCTTACTGCATGGCCATTGCTGCTTGGTGCATGTGTTGCACTCGTGCTATGCCACATCCACCAGGGCATGTGGAGTGCTGGTGAACGAGCTGGTGATGGGCCATGGTTGTGTACCACGTGGTTACCACGTGCTGACCATGTGTTCCTCCTGCCCCATGGTTTATCAGGGCATGTGGAGTGCTGGTGTACGAGCTGGTGATGGTGATGGACCATGCTTGTGTACCACGTGTTTGTTGCATGTTCTTTTTGCCCCATCATCCATCAGGGCATGCGGAGTACTGGTGTACGAGCTGGTGATGGGGCATCCGCCCTTTGAGGGGTCATCAGACATGCACACGGCAACCAACATCATGCACAGGGAGCTTGTTCCCGATTCGCTGCCCCATGCCATGTCTCCCGCTTGCAAGGATTTCATTTGCAAGGTGAGTGAGATGCATCCACAGGGCTTTCATTTCATCCTCTGCGCAATCCCACGTAGCAGTCACCACCCACACAGCAACCAACATCATGCACCGGTAGCTTGTGCCTGATGCGCTGCCACATGCCATGTCGCCTGCCTGCAAGGATTTCATCTGTCGGGTGAGTGAGCTGCATCCACAGGGCCTTTATACTTCGTGTTATCCCTCCCTATTCGCCAACATGCACACATTCACACTGCCACCACCAACATCATGCACAGGGACCTTGTGCCGGAGGCACTGCCCCTTGCCACGTCATGCAGCCTGTTCTTTCCGACATTCTCTCCCCTTGCGCCTCCAGGTGCTTTGCAAGAACCCCTCCGACCGTCCCTCGCTGCTTCAAATGCTAAACCATCCCTTTGTGTCGGGGCATTGCTGGGGGCGACCTCTGCTCAAACCAACTTTCGCCCTTACTTCTCAGCCCTTCTTCAAAATCTCTCTCCCTTGCGCCCCCAGGTGCTTTGCAAGAACCCCTCCGAACGCCCCTCGCTGCTTCAGATGCTAGACCATCCCTTCGTGTCGGGCCACCGCCAGAGGAGACCTCTGCTCAAGTTGACATCGGTCCTTACTTCTCCGTTCCCTCCCTTGCGCCTCCAGGTGCTTTGCAAGAACCCCTCCGACCGCCCGTCGCTGCTTCAGATGCTCGACCACCCCTTTGTGTCGGGCCTCTGCTGGGGGCGGCCTCTTTTTAAGGAGGTTAGGCAGGCAGTCTTAGAGGAGCGGTGGCGGCAGGAGAGGGAGAGGGAGATGGGGGAGGAGCGGAGGAGAAGGGTGGAGGCACAGCGGGAGGAGGAGAGGAGGAGGGAGTGGTGGGAGGAGCAGCGGAGGGTGATGGTGCTGCGGAAGAAAGGAGGGGTGGGGGAGGAGACGGGCAGTAAGTCATTTGGGAAGGAGAGGGAAGATGGGTTTGGTGAGGGTATGGGGGAGGTTGAGACAGTAACCAGTCCTGTGTGCGTCAATCCTCCACCCATCAGTCCTCCATCCATGGCTCCTTCCCCCATCAGCCCATCAGCACGCCTCGCCATCCTCCCCCCCACTCGCTTTCCTCCCTCCTCTCCCCTGCCCCCACCTCCTCTTTTAGCCTCCATTGCCTCTCCCTCTGCATCTACACCCACATCCTCGTTATTGTCACTTAAATCAGGATCACCACCAGCATCACCCCCTCCCACTCTGACGACCTCCCTGCCTAGCCCTACCATGCCCAATCAGCCAATAATACCTGTTGAGCAATCCAAAAGCACTCCTGAAGGTTCCCCCCAGTCAATCCCTGTCTCAACTCCTGTAGTCACATCTCTTACAGGAACAGACCAGCCAGTGCATCTCCTGCCTGGTGCCCAAGGGATAGAACACAAGGCATGGATATTTGCGGCTGGGGTAGGTGTGGGAGAAACCCCTGGGGGGGGAGGAGCAGCTTCAGGGGAAAATTCAGGGGCTGTGAGAGAAGCAGAAGGATGTGGTGTGCGCAAACCATTCTCTTGGCTGCATCCCTTCCAGGGCTGGACTTTGCCAGTGGGTAAGCAAGTATGATTGTAGGGGTGCAATATTGGTGATCTCTAAATTGTTCTTTTCTTCTCTTTCATCTGGGCTTGTTGTTTAGGAGATAGGTGCTACACTATGTATGACTTCATGATTATACACATTTGCGCATAACATTTGCTCAGAACTTTTGAGCATCAACCAGACCAAACCAGACGACAAGGAATAACATGGCAGCAAACTTTTGACAAGAACCTTTTTCTGGCTCATTAGAGTTGGACCATGACTAACAGGTCCAACGAGATATTTGCTTCAAGCCTAAAATATACCCCTGCCACGTTAGCTTCATTCACCAGTGACCAGACCTCAAATTCAGCCATGGCCTTGCGATAAGGGGGGAATCTTGGAAGGTACAGGTTGCAGCTCCCAAGGAGCTGAGCTGACAGAATCTTCAGATTAACAAGATTCTCTGGGTTATTTCCGGAGCTATCCACAGTGTTTAATCGACAGTCGCTGCTCCACGGCGCCATCGAAAATAATGGATTGGCGGAATGGATCTGCTTTGGTAGATCCTTATCCGGCCATAATCCTCCTGGGCTTGAACAGTTGCTGAGGCGATAGGGAAGGCGTCTTCAGGCACCAAGAGTTGTTGCTGCTGCTCGGGTATCGGAACGGAAAGTTGTTGCCTTCGAATAGATCAAGCAAGGCCAGCGTCTGCAAGAGAAGGAAAGCAAACAAACAAGGCAATCAGTTAGCGTCACAACGAAAAAGGATGAGAAAACGCGAAATGATCACGCGAAAAGCATAAAGCTCGTCAAGCAGCATCCGACGTGGCATACCTCGGGAACGGACAGCATGAGCCGGAACTTGGGGCCGTCATAGTGATACAGAACGGGTCGAAACTCGTCCTCCTCCAGCGCTCTGCACGCCTTGCGAATCCGGATCCGAACCTGGGCCGGGAACCGCGACTCGCCTTTCACCTTCTTGTCTTCCCACGCGGTCGGATCGATGTTGGAACCTCCGAAGCTCGCGGCTTCGAAAACCCCGTGTAGTTGATGCGTCGTGTAGTTGTACAGGAATAAGGGTAACCCGGGTTGGATGGAGCGTACCGAGTCGCGGTATCTCTGTGGTAGGCCGAATAATTGCCGTTTCAGGTCTTCCTGCATTGTGTCGTTGTTGCATACGAAGATGTACCCTCCTAAAATCTCGTGCCTTGGGAGAGACTCCGAGGGAGGCAGTGTTTTTTGCTTCTTTTCTGGAGATGACTGCGTGCCTGGTGACTGGTTCCCTTGTGACTGCCTCGCTGGCGACTGCATGATCCCTGGAGACTTCAGAACCGCTAGCGAAAACACTCCCGTTCCTGTCATCTCGATAGCCCAGAAACCGCTAAACCTTGAAACTGATCGTATGGAAGTAATCGGAAAACTGAGCTGGATGAGAAACTGAAACCGAGAACGCCTAGTAGATATGGAAGACTAGGCGACGAGGGGTCTGAAGGCTGAAGCGAAGTGCAAGATTTGGCGGGAACGGATCTGGCTTTTTGAGCTGTGTGTGGTGAGATCAGCAGGAGAGGGTAGACTGGATCTCACTCCGACGCAAGCGTTGGCTGGGCAAGGTGAAACCGAAACTTTGGTCTGGCGGCTGGAGTGCGGCAGAGTTTTACAGAAGTGCAAATCGAGTGACGAAAAGTTCCCGAGGATACCGGAATTTATCTCCTAAGCGCGCCCGGCCGTGCGGGTTGATGGGCTGGGCAGGGCAGACTGCGAAGCTGGAAATGCAACTCTGACACGCAAACTGTCCAACCAAAAACTTCGTAAAGGTTCCCGTGCAAAACATTCGTAAAAGTCATGAATGGAGGCCTGCGAACATTCATTGATAGGGTGCTTACCCCCACCTGTCCCGGTTTGCAAGGGAATTATGCACTCCGACCTATATGTTCGGCTCCACGCATTTTTCAGGGAACACTGTCCTTCAATTATGTACAGCGAGTTGGTATCAGTTACACGATATTGGATTCCCCTTCAACAAAACATTACAACAAAATTACTAAATATCTGCATCGTACCCACAAGAAAGCACACACCCTTGTCCCGCGAGTTGGTCCCACCGACAGCGAAAGCGCGGTGCAGCTTCACACAACACCACCAACCCCGCCCCATCCAGCTGCTCGAATGTTCGTTCGGTCCGGTCAGACTAGAAAATTGGGTTGAGGAGGAGGTGAAGGGGGCCGAGTGGGTTCCGCCGCACCCGATTCCTCCCGAATTTCTAGCAAGGTCCATTTCGGTCAGGTTTGGTGGAATCGCGGGTGCGTGCTTGATCCTTCGGAAACTTTGCTTCGTCATTCTGGTCCGGTCTGGCTCTCTGAATCCGTAGATCCCGGAGGCAAGGAGTATCCAACCCTGGGGTCCAGCCAAAATCCGTTCAAGCCACCGTTTGCTGCCACGCACGATGTTCACCCTGCCACGCATACCCTGCAGGTTTGGGTGCGACGTCACCATCACCCTGGTATGTTTGCGTGACGACGAAGTATTCCTCTTAGGAATGGACCCGTTTTATCAACCAAATCCTGACCTGGCAGGTGGGAGTGAGAAGTTGCTACCTGGAGTAACTTTTTGAGCTCTTAACAAATACTTCCAGTACTACCTTGTACTGGTATCTTGAGCTTAAGAAGCTTGAAAAATAGACTCTAGACTATATTACAGCATCCTAATTGGTAGGATCTATTATTTGCATATCTTTGGCTTTTTAAAGAGGAAATCAAAAGTGAGTACACGACCTTTCTTTAGTTCCCCTCTAGTAAACTATTCCTGCCAAAAAATCCCAAAAACAACACACATAAATTACCCCATCAAGAAACCGTTTCAAAACACCCGGTCAAGATGCCCCATCGAGACTCCCCATTTTGCACCCCATTTTACCCCCTCTCATTCACATATGTGCATCCACCATGTACGGGGCCTCCACCTAACGCGCCCCGCCCTCCACCTCGACGTCGTTCTGTCAGAATCCCAACCACTAGACCATTGGAATAAAATGGCTTGTTAAGTAGCGGGTCAGTGCGCCCATAACCCCCCAGGACAACGAGCCTGTAACCCTTCCCTATGATCAATCGGGGATCACCAGTGGACCTCTAACACCCCCCCGCACTACGATGCCTGAAATGCACACACTGGGATTCGAACCCAAGACCTTTGGTCTGATACCATGTCAGAATCCCAACCACTAGACCATTTGGATAAAAGGGTTTGTTAAGTAACGGGTCAGTGCGCCTATAACCCCACAGGACAACGAGCCTGTAACATTTCCCTAGGATCAATCGGGGATCACCAGTGGACCTCTGACACGTCCATCTCCCTGTCCACCAAATCCACATTCATCCCCCCCATGGAAGACGCCGCACGAAGGAGGATGACACGTGATTGCACCCGTACTGTTGATTGCGCCCGTATTGCGATTGCACCTGAAGCGCGTCCAGTGTCCTTTCTTGTCCAGGTAAAGACTGCGGTTGTGGCGCGAAACTGATGGAGCCGCGTTGAGGCTCGTACGGGGCAAAGGTGGGTTGCTGCTGATTTCCGCGCGCGTAGGATGAACCGTCAAGACTCATCGGCGTTGCTCTGTTGTTGTTGCTGTTTTTTTATTGTGCAGGAACTGTTTGCTGGTGTTGCTCGTAGAAGGACATAAAGGAGAAGAATTTCTCCATCATACTTGGGTCGAAGCTTGCTGCTTGGTTTCCGGGAGTTTCCGTTGACTCCGCAGCTGGTCTTGTAGCTGTGCCTTCTTCTGTCTGTAGGCCAGAGGCTGGAGGTGGAGTAGGAGTAGTGCCGAGAGATCCGTTGGAGGAGCTCCTCTCCTTCCGTGTTGCCATGTCTTGCGTTGTTGTAGGTAATTTTAAGAGAGTGATCTTGCCCTGCCTGCTCTCATACCATGTTGGGCTGAGAAAGGCCCTTTGGATCTTTCAAGGCTAAGATCAGGTGTTGAAGTAGATGTTGTAATTGCGGAAGCGTTGTAATATCAGAGTTGCTTGAATCACCTTGTACTAGTGTGTGAGAACAAGATAAGTTGATAATAACAAAGAGATACAAGCTTTTTATATGATTACAAGGAATATGAAAAGGTTCTACTTTAACTGTTTTGCTGTTGCGGTTCGATACAGTGCCGACTCGGGTAACTGCTTGATAAAGAGTCAGTTATGTGTCCTTGCTGTCGCACTGTAGTTATCGTCAAGTCAAAGGTCAGCGACCTTTGACCTTCGCGTAACCTCCAGCGGTTGCTTCTGTTGACTCGTGTTGCTTCACTGTAGTCTGCTTCGTTTCGTATCGATAGTTCGATACTTCAGAAGCGTTTGAGTTATTGTTTCCAACACTCCCCTTTGCTTCTGGAGTGTCGCTGTTGATGACGTGTCCTTGCCCAGTCAGCAGCATGCAGTACTCGAACTTCTGTTTTCCGAGTTTCTTGGTCAAGTAATCTGCTGCCATCTCGGATGTGGGACAGTAGGATAGTTTGAGTCTTCCCTTCTCGATTTCGTCTTTAACGAAGAAGTATCGGAGAGCGATGTGCTTCGTTCGATTCGCGAACCCATTCTTGTTCGCTATGCGAATGGCCGATTGGTTGTCGCAGAAGAGGGAGAAGCTGGGTAACTGAGCCAATTTTGCTTCTTCCAGTAGTTCGCGAAGATATAGCCCTTCCTTGGTGGCTGAGCAGAGTGCGATATATTCTGCTTCTGCTGAGGAGAGAGCGATTAGCTCTTGCTTGTTCGACTGCCATGAGTTAGGCCAGATAGGTTCGAGTCTGTATACGTAGCCAGTTCGAGATCGTCTGTTGTCGGAGTCTCCAGCGTGATCGGCGTCGACATAACCGATTAGCTTAGGT